GATTAGAGCAAAAGAAATACACAAGAAACAAAGAAAAAATATAACAATGAGAGAAAAAGAAGAGAAAGAAATGTAACACTGTTTTTTCTCTCTCTCTCTGTCTCTCTGTCTTTTTCTCTAGGAGAAGAGAAGAGAAAAACGAAAAGAAAAAAGAATCATCAGCATCATCATCATCATCATAATAATAATAATCTATCGTTGAACACTATACCACCTATTTTTTAGATCTGTAGAACGTATGTGATAATGTAACCATTAAATGACTTTGTGATAACAAAACATGAACATAAACCAGTACGATGGCGTACAGTGAACAAATTATATTACTATGTATAATAAAAATTCATTTGACAGAGTCGAATTATACTATGGAAAAAGTAGCAAAAACTCTTACCTTTCATCTATTGATTTGCACTTTTTCCATACTAATAAACAGTCCAAAAACGAATATCTCATACATATTTTCTCTTGTTATGATTGATCACACTATCTCAACGTTCAATAAGGTATAAATTGAAATGGACAAACATTTTTTTTGCATCCGGAAGTAGTAAATATTTGTACCCATTTATCATTTTTTGTGCCCGAAAAAAGAACTGTGACCGGTTTTTTCACCAAAATATTTAATAGTAGAAATAGATGTTCTACATTATATTGGAAACAATGGAACAATTTTTCTCCATGGATCAAAGGTGGACGACTTATTATAATCTCAATGATTTGTTCATGTAGAGCCAATTTGAAAATATATGTATGTAAACATGCTATTGGTATAATGATGTATTTTGGTTATTCTACTATAAAAGAATCAGAAAAATTATAAAATTTATAGAAACGACGTGGAAGGTCAAGAAAAGCAGGATTTTCATTGTCTCGTGTTTAACTGTACTACTTACATATTTTTGTTGTTGTCTGTATTCGTCTTCTCTCTGGTCTTTATAATTCTTGTACTATCTCAATAAATAGATGGGAATATAATAAGCTAAGGTCTTTCTCCTAAATAAACTGAACACCTGTTAAAAACAATATTCTTAATCTAATTAAAAGTGGGCATAGTTGTTTTTTCTGATACAAAAATACAAAAACATTTTTATGTGCCAGAACCAGGTACCAAAAAAAATGATAAATGGACATAAATATTTGTTTATTTCGAGTACAAAAAATAATTTTTCCAATTGAACTGGTACTTGTCTGTCTATCTGCGTCACGTAGAATCATGGTCAAAAAAATGTTATCATTAATTCATGTTATCAGATTTCGTGCTTTCTTTTTATCTGAGGTACGCGAGTTACTTAATATCACATGTATTTATAGTTGAATCCTAATGTGAAATAGAATGACGTTTATTTCTTTTGTATATATAAATTATAGATGCTTCTTTTGATCATATTTATTTTATGTTGTGTTTGTATCATATTACGTCAAAATATAGTACTTGAACAGAGCACATACGGATACAATTCAATATACATTAGAAGAGGAAATGGTACAGATGCCATCGAGAGAATTCACAATTTGGTTTTTCATCTAACTTTTTATGTTATTGATAGAGCGGTTAACATTGACAAAACATTATTGAAATCAAAAACATATATATATATCTATATACAGATCGTGAATGATCAGAGACGATGAATTATATCTGATGTATTTAAAAATACTTTCGTTGATTGATTTTTTTTTTTTTGTTACCAACAATTCATAGAGATAAATAAATGATTGATAAAGTTATGATAGAGTTCATATTGAAAAATAAACTCTTTAGTTTTATTATTAATTTGATGGACGATACTTTCTTTAAGATAGACAGAAGAATTGTTTTCTGTCTTGATTATACTATGTTATAAATAGAAAAATGATTTTAGCTCAATTAAACGAATCCAATAAAATGCCATCTATTCACAGTACCCTTACCCATCGACTCAATTGATAATATTTGTAAATTATCATACAATTTAAACTTGTTCAAAAAAATATATATATATATACATAAACTGTAGAAGTTTAAAGCTTTAGGCCATCAGTTTTTTCTTTTTCTTTTTTTTTGACAAAAAAATCAACTACACTGTAAGTGTTTTCATTGTTTGTTTATAAATTTTTATCATCAAATTGAAAAGGTTTCATCTAGTCAAGATGTGTAAATGAATAATCATGTTTGACATCTATAATACATAGTGATGGTAAGTATTTCCGATTTCTTTCTTTTCTTATATGTTGGACATGGGAAGGGCAGTTATAGAGTAAACTAATAAATATAATAATATAAGAAAATATTTTTTATTTTACTTAAATAGTATTTTTACATTTTTTAGTATTTATCATTTCTATTTGTCTTTGACTTTAATCACACATTATATTTTAGAAATATTTTTGTCATTGTAATGAATATAACATGCAGTACAACAGATACATAGTGAGTTATTCTAATTTTTTTTTTATTAACAGTTATAATTGTTAGTCTTGTGGTGAGCTAGCTATTTGTAAGGAGAAGTTCTAATTTTGATTTAGATTCTTTGTCAATCATATATAATAATCTAGCATATTATCATTATTCATATTTCTCAATTGTTTAACAAGTGGATATTATGAAAAGTACTCTTGAAAAATGACATTTTCGATCAACATTACTTTTTCTTTATCTGTGAATTAGAGTAAAACTTATATTTTACATTGATACAATTTTCATCAGTGGAATATCTATTGTTTTATAGAGATTTAAATCATTTAGTAGAGCCTATGTTTGTTTTAGACTCATTATTAGCATACACGATAGTTTGTATGGGAGAAAAAAAAATCTACGGATTTATAACGAGACATTCGATAAATTCACTTGACATCTTCCGTTTTGATGTCGTCAAACGTCTTTTCGATTCATTTAATGATAATCAACGTCATGATAGTAGACTCGATTAATTTAGAATTTATTTTTCTTTATCTCATTCAATGATGAATTGAGTTTTCTTTTTTTAAGTCAAGGACATCGTTACACACGGAAACATTATTTCGGCATAGACAAATTAACTTAGTTTTTTTAAGAGAAGAAGAAAAGAAGGAAACGTAAAGCATTCTTGATTTGATCAATATTATAAATAAGAGTACAATTTTTCTGATCATGATAGTGAATAAAGAACTATTTTCTTCTATGCCATCAGCTAAAAAAAATAGTTGACATCATTACTTTAGTTCAAAGTCAATGAGAACGAGAAAACCAGTTATTAAGCTAACTATATAGACTAAAAAGAAAATACTGAAAACTTGTTAAAGTCGTGTTCAATTAGAATTTATACGATTTTAAGGCATGTTCTCTTATAAGTGTTATCCACTAGTCCTAATTATATTACTAAAGCGGCATTTTTTTAGCAAAATAAAAATGTCAATCATTATTAAAGTTTTTCTCTAGGTTAACGAGATCCTTAAGCACATCGTCTGGTACTAATTTCCATTTTATCTACTCTGACCATGACCAGATGAATGACTTACTTATTCTCAAACAGTCTATATTTATCTCGAAGAAGAACGTATTTCAAAGATTTTTTAATGATGTATACATACATATTTCAAGATGTGTTCGTCGTTTTCTTTCTAGTGATCTATAATGGTGGATCTTACACTTTAAAAACAAAAATGCCGCTTCAGTTATGTGTCTTTCTAGAAAATGTGCCTTTTATACGTCTTCGAAATAATAGGCATCTTCCATACGCTTTGGATGTGTTTAGTGGTAGGCGCATGAATTGGGTGAGGGTAACATTCGAATGGAAAATGTTTGAACAAGAATGACGGTTAGTATTCATATCTTTATGAATGACTTGATGAATGTTTTGTTAAAGAAATTGTATTGAATTTTCTTTGCAGGTGTAGAGCTCTATTTTCAGATTTAAAGTCAAAGCCTACGTAAATATTAAGAACACTGGAGAGAATCTACTGTTTCCTCTGACTTTTCCGGAGCTATTGAGGTATTAACTTTCTGGAAGAAATAAACAATTATCAATGAGAAGCCTAAGGCAATTTTTTGAAGAAAATAGTAGAGGCTGTTTTTTTTAACTTGTGTGTGTGAGACAAGAAATTGGCGAAGTGCTAAAAACACAATCTTCATTTATTTTAAAGTGAACTTCAATGTGTTTGTGCTTCTAATAGAAGTTTCTCATGACAAGTAAACATAAGAAGTCAGTAAGACTAATAATTAATGTACTTGTGTAGTACTGCATTTGTCTGATCAGTGAATACACCGGGTTCAACTCTTGACAGGAACAAACAGTATTTTTAACGTGCCTTTTGCAGACAACATATCAAAACGATTTTAGAAGAGTTACTAAAATATCACTAAATAGACTCCCACTAATGTGTTTTTAATACGATTAAAGCAAGGGCTAAAATAACTAACAGATAAAGATCCATTCTTCAAACTATTATACTATAACGGTCATGAGTAAATATAATATAAACTTTAGTGACTACTGATTGTAAATATTTTTTGAATCTTTGGGGTTGTCCAGCAGACTTTTCTCTACAAAATGAGAAACGATGGAGTTTATGAACTTATTTGCTAAACAGAAATATATAATTACAGCAATGTGTGATCGAGAAAAATATATTATCAGAATAGCTTTTTCATTTGTGATCGTGCAGTTAGTCGATAATAATGAATTAACAATTTATTGATTAAATTTAAAATCTATAAACAAAAACACAATCAACTCAAAGTTGAGATTGGAATGATTGGAAAAGCTGTTTAGAATTCTGTATATGGCCACATAAAAAATGAACATCTCAGAAAATTCTTATTAGTCGCCATCGTATTTTTATATAAAAATGTTATTGAATTGGTAACTTATCCAATAAAACGATGTATTAAAATACACATACTCATATCATCTAACCTGGCCAAGAGTTTCGATATAGTCTTTTTAAATAAATTTGTAGATTGCAGGTATAGGCAAGTATTTTTAGGTCAATATTGTTGGAAGATACACCGATCTTTGTTCTAATTATTAAACCACCTACTATACATCAAATGTCACTTCTTTCGATGTCCATATTCTACTCAATGGCTTAACACCTCTTAGAATACTTTTTGGTCTATCATGAAATGAATGATTAAAACGTATATTCTCTGCGCCAATTGTACTCGAATAATGATTTAAAAGTTTGACTACTTCAACCTTTGAACTCTTGGTCGTATGCCAAGGCGATGTTATTGTCGTAATTGTTTGTTGATGTTCCGTCGCACCAGACCATGTGTTTTCTCGTTTAAAAAATTCTGTATGGTATGTTGGACTCTTTGACTTGTCCGGTGTCGCTGGAGTTGTTAATTGTGAACATCGATTATGTAATCGTTGCATGAGTAACAACCACATTGTATAAGGATTTTGTGAACCATTTTTATTTAAAGTCACTGTATTATCTGATGAACGACTACGTGGTGACAATATTGCCGGTGTGAATGTACTATCTTCAAATGTTGGTTCATGTTGATGATTACAAATAACTTCAGCTTTACGTTTATACGGACTTGCTATACCATACCAGCATTTATAATTTGGAAAACTAATATAAAAAAATAACAACATCATATACAATCATGAATATATTTTCAAGAAAAGTTGCAGACAATTCTTTTTGAAAATAAAATGGTAAAATTACAACCTTACTTAAGAATACCTCTCTCCTCATTTTGGGTTTTTTCGTATTTTATTTTAGACCTTTCTTTATCGAGCTATAGAGTTTCTAAAATTTAAAAACTTGATTTTTGAAAGTTTTTCAGTATTTTTCATATAACTCGGTAAAGAAAGATCTAAAATAAAATTCCAAAATTATACCTCTCCGCTATGACCTTGAGTATCTCTAGTACAATTTTTAACTCGATCGGATGAAATTTAAGGAGCATCGTAATGTAGTCCAATGAAAAACCGACTTTTCTGGAAAACTGGTGAACGGCAATAGTTAAAAACTTGAAACAAAAACGAAAAAAAGTGCTCCATTGAATTTCCGATCAGTTGTGAAAATATGAAGTCTTAGTAAGTTTTAGTTTTTATTTCACAGCATTTCTGCGAAAAGCCCAAAATGAGGGGAGGGGTACTCTTAATTCAGATGAAAATAACTACACTAACAGTTAAGAAGAAGATAATAGAAACATAAATTTCAAACCTTAAATCGGCATGATTTCGTCTTCCCGATGATGTACTGGTACGTGTTATCAATCGTCGACAGTTGTTGTCAATCATTTTTGGTTCCACGAAATTTGTCCATTGTATACAATTCATATGATATTCATCATCAACAACAAATGGTGATGCATCCGTGTTGTCAAGTAAAAATAGAGCATTCGCATATTTTTGATTTTTAACGGCTAATAATAATGGTGAATAGCCTAACTCATTTTTTGGTTCCATGGATAATCCAATTGTTTGCATTTCATAAACGATCAATGATAAAATTTGAATATTTTGACACATAGCAGCATAATGCAAATGAGAATTTCCTACATTATCTGTTAACCTCCAATCGATCGATTTTGTTCGTAGAAACAATGCAACAAGTTTTGGTCGGTTTAAGATGATAGCATACGCTAATGGTGTTAGCCCTTGATTATTTTGAATATTTATATCAGCACTTGACTGAAGTAACACTCGTCCAACGCTAAAATAGAGATACATAATTACAATGTTCAGGAGATAGGTATAGTTGTACATAATTTACCGATATCCATAACGTTCTTGATTTGATAGTGCTGCAAGATGCAACGGTGTTCGAGAAAAATCATCTTTTCCATTAACGTTGCAATCCATTTTAATTAACAATGTTAATTGTGATAAACGGCCATCTAGTATAACTTGATGAATCGACGCCATATTGTTGCACAGTTATAAAGTTTACTGTTTATAACTGACTATTCACAGCTGAGGATATGTGAAACGTTTATTTATTTTCCATTCTCAAAAACAATTTTCCTTTTTCTATCAATAAATCGAAATAGAATTAAAATAATGGATTTAAAGTAACAAAAGAGAGAAATACATGTGTTTTTGTTGAATTGAATTTCAGTGCATTAGACTATTTAGAATACAGTATAAACTATTAGGTCGTTTTAAAAGTAAAAACTGACTTTTTTTTACAGTACCGTCGTGTCGTATAAAATAGTTTGATCATTGATTCACAACGAAATATAAAAGAACTTTGTGAAGAAGTCATCGTATGTTTGTTAGATTTATTTATAATCATACGCATGAGACAAGTCAATGAACCAATTGAGTGATTAAAATTAATATTTCAAAAAAACACTTTCAACATGCATTTTCACTTCATTTGTATAAATTGACAAGGTTTCACTTGTAATGTATTCAATCATTTCCTTTCATGTTTCTAAAAAATGTTACGCAGATTATTTTAACCTAAAAATAGACATTTTTTGAAAAATGTGTGGTTCTGGATGGACCATCCAGATCCAAAATGCCTAGAGCTTCATTCGAGCATCTTCTTTTATCCAAAAGTACTCCAGAGCATTTTAAGCACATATTCATGCCAAATCGAACGACTACACTTTAAAGCTCCCCGAGTCAGAAATATCGATTTTTTCATAAAAGATCCATATTGAGCTAAACATATGATTGAAGAGCCCAAGATGTCTACTTTCAGAATCCATACTATTTGTGCCAATCTCAAGCGTTTCTGCGGGGTTCTGATAATGGATCTTCTAAACGCCTTAAAAACCTGATTTTTCTAAAATTCTGGTATTTAAATGAAATGTCGGAATCAAAAAGGATTTTAGTGGCTCCCGTTCATAGAGTGAATATTTGTGATTAAAATGAGATGTCTTCCAGCATCAAACGATACTTTGATCAAAAGTTATGACAGTTTTATTACGAGCCCTAAAACGCGTATCATACACTAGCGTCACTATATCTAAAAAGCGACTTTTTCCTACGTGATAAACCCTGTCGAACAGATTTCTCCGTGAAATTAAGCGCTAGAAAGCTCGGGTTGATCTTAAATTGAAGCTAAGGCATATGGAAATAGCGTAACAGACCCCGATTTTTGATTCAGACCGTCATTCGTTCACAGTGTTGAAAGTTATATGCCGGTCTTTGCGCTTTTCTGGAAGTTTTGAGGTGAAATCCATCAGAAATTAAAATAAAGAAAAAATTCAAAAATCTGGCTCCGTTACATCGTTACTCTAACTTCATTTTATATTTTAAAATCAGCCCGAGCTCTCCAACTATTTTCTGAGAGGAGAAATTTGCCGGACGGTAGATTCCCCATTTTGACTCATGTTCGAGCGACATCTCGTAAACGATGATACATGGAGCCACCAAACTTCTGCAGTAAACTATTCCTCAACATGCCCAACGTTCTCCAAAATTTTCGCTCAGATCAGATTTATGGTTACCGAGATAGATTCCTGACTCGGGTGGAGGGGCGACCGTAAAATAAACAAGAATGTATCTGTCTTAACTGAGATACAAGTCATATTTTTCCAATAGACATTGACTTTTTTAATTTAGAAAATTTTGCGTTTATCCACCATGATGCGAGTGATGAAATGACAGACAAATTTAGACGTGCTTTTTAAGACACTCTTCGTTATTTGTGAATTGAATGATCCTTTGTATTTATGCCATCTATGCATCCAGAAATGACAATATAAGATCATTTACATTCGAAATCTCATTAGAGAAACGAAAAGTTTCAAGAAATAGTCAATGTTCAACAAATATATATATATATATATATATATATATATATATATATATATTTATAAATAATGCATTTTATCTCTATTGAGAAGTTCCAACAAAAATATTTATGCGGCTGGTGTCCGTTGTTGTAGACCAATTTTAAGTTGTTTTTTTTTTCGCCTAGCTATTTATTGATACGCTCGTAAGCGCTTGCAAAAGTAATGAAAAACATTTAAAAATACAAAAAGTTTTGTTTACAATGTTGGTCATTCTCACATTCTACATAGCTCAACCCGAGACTAGTTTTTCAATAACATAAACAATTAACATACGAAAAACAAAAAACAAAAAAGGAAAGACAAACCTGGAACAGATTTAACTAACCGGACTAATATCTCAACTCACAATTACAGTTGTCTAGAAATGACAGCCATTCGAGAAGATAACATCGATGATTCTCAATCATCTTTTTTACACGCTTTTGTCTAAAAAAGTGACCTAACCCAAGTTTCTTTCTATCGATTACAAGGAAATCCCAATAAAAAATATCATTAAGGGAAAAGGATTGGCCTAAGTCGGATATGTGGCTTCGCGTAAGCATTTTTTCTAAATAGGATTTAACATAAAAATTCAGATCGTTTTCGTTAATAAAAGAGAAAGATCGTGCGCCGATACAAAATGGCATCTATAGACAATACAGAACCCTACTCGAAATTTGCGATAGAATAGTTCTTGTTGTGATTTTGGTAGCAAGGGAAAAAAGCAGAAGATCCACGTGAAGAAGGGAAAAGCATAGACAAAGAAGCAGAGTCGAAGAACCTCGGTTGAGATATTTTTATTTCGCTTCAGCCATTTTAATTTTGAGTAAGACGTTTGAATACTTTCTAAACAACTATCTACCGTAGGTTTTAGCGAAAGTTTGTCAGTCCACGTAAAACCTAAGTATTTAAAGACAGATACTACTACTAATTTAACATTATTCATATAGATTTCGATCTCAGGTTTAATTACTTGAGAATAAAAAAGTTGTACGACTGTTTTTAATATATTTAGCGGTTGCTTCCACTTTTTGGAGTAATTAAAGAAATTATTACACACTTTCGTACCTTCCTCATTTAAAAATTTTAGCATTTTAGACAAACTACTTGAAACTGGAGGGACAATAATTGTACTTAGATCGTCGGCGAACAGATGAGAAGAAAAAGCTCCTACACATTCCACTAGATCGGTGTGAAAGATAATAAAAATAAAAGGACTTAGTACACTACCTTGAGGAAGTCCTATGTGTACTTTGAAAATACCCGATTTAAACTTTCCAAATATAACGAAGGCTTTCCGGTCACTAAATACAATCAATTTTAAAAGCTCAGGCGGTATCCCTAGTCTACAGTGTTTAACAATTAATCCCATGTGCCAAACCATGTCGTATGCTTTTTTATAATCTACGTAGATTCCTAAAACAGGGATATTTACTGCAAGGTTATTTTTTACTTCCTGAAAGATTGACAGTACACGTGTTTGAAGTGGTCCATTTTCCCTAAATCCGGATTGTTCTGGAGGCACAATACTATTTGTGTCCGCCCAGCCTTTTACTCTTTTAATAATAATTTTTTCATACAGTTTTGAGTGTGTGGGTGATAGGGATATTGGTCGAATGTGTTCGCAAGAGGGGATATCTGATTTTAATTTATTCAAAGTTACAATTTTTGCAAGCTGCCACTCGTGACGACAGCCATTCGTTGAAACAAAAACACAAACAATCGATAAACGCCGGTAGAAGTTTTTTCAACATAAAATTTGATATGTTGTCAAAACCTGCTGATTTTTTTGGTTTTAAGGCTCTTATTAAGTTATTAATCTCATAAGTTGAAGTTAGAGCTACAGTATTTGAACATGAAGCTAGTTTTGCCATAATTTTCTCGTACTCAACTTTGTACTGGTTATCATCTGAGTTGTTAGGGTCACAAAAAGGTGCTGAGAATTGTTCTGAATAGTATTTAAACAAGTACTACAATAATTTTAAGTTAAGAACACTGCATAGTTATTCTATGTTCGATAAATTTTGTTTGTGATTTCTGTAGAATATTTTTGTTTTGAAGTAAGTGTTATTTTCAACACACATGAGTTTTATCAGCTGAAGTTCTACTTTTGGTTACACTATCATGAGCACATACAATCTAACAAATATTTGAAAAACACAAAACTTAAACAAAATCAATCTACACCATGATACATTTTCTGCACAACATACGAATTCAAGTCAATACAAATTGTATCTATTTATTGTTATATTAAATACACATGGTGTTGTATCAGACAATTTGTTTACTGATATATAAAAGCAGAATGAATTGAGATGATATAATAAAAATCCTTCTAGGTAAAAGATATAGCTATTGACAACAAGTAGAAGAACTATAAATAACGCATCTTCTTCACAGAGGGCAATAATTTATAGCTGGTATAAGTTAAATAACATATTCATAAATAACATAATCTGTTTTCTTTTTGTATCTTATCACGAGGAAATTCGACAGGATATTGTTTTCGTAGAAGAAAAAAATATAAATCAGAAGAAAGACAATTCTATAACATGCGAAAAAGATCTGACGATGTTATCCAATTTATATCATATGAATTATGATTTTAAAAAAAAATTGTGACAATCGAAACTGATTGCCGTCGAAATATAGGCTACCCACTCTGTCTCATCGAAAAATAATACTTATTTCTTTTTCCGAAGATATGCAAGTGCAGTTATGGACTATAGAAATTCGCATACGGAAGAACATAATAATGACAGTCTATCTATCAGAAACAACAACAACTTTTTCTATGTTCTCTTTCGTATCTTATTACGCTTCAATATTAGTTATTATTTTTCTATTCTTTGTAATAGCAAAAAAAGAAACGAGACATTTTTTTCGTTTCGTTCGGATCGATGTACATTGTAATATTTCTCTATGTGTATATGCTTTTTCTTTTTCAAAATGTGTGGTGATTGTCTACTAAATGCTGTCGCATCAAACGCATGATGTGACATAGTTATGAGATTGCCATTTGCTCTTTTTTTTATTGTAAAACAAACTAAAACAAACGGCAAAAAAATTATTATTCATGAAAATAATAGCACGTTTTACATTTTTTTTATTTTTTGATCGTTAAAATCATCTGGCGCATAAAGATCGAATAGCGAGAAAGAGCGAGAGCGAGCAAAAATAACAATGATTAGATCTTAGAAATTATTATCAATCAATCGTCAGTGGGTAAAATATGTTCACGCTACTTCCGTCACTCTATTTTGCAGCGACAAATTATATTCGAAGTTGGAACCCAAATAATTATCAAGAAAACTATGATGATAATCAATCAGAGAATGACTTAATTAAACAAAAACTCAGTCATTATGATATAAAACCGGTGCAACAAGAGAAACTTTTACAATATGATACAAATTTCTCACCAAAAAATATTGTGAGCGTCGAAAATAAAGATGATCAGCTAAACAGTGATAGTATCGATAAACAACAACAACAACAACAAACAAGTACCAATATAAAACTTCAAAACAATACACAATCAGCATCTATATTGCTTGAGCGACGTAAAACTTTTACAGGAGAATTAATTGATGATGATTTAGTTTATTTAATGAATGAAACGGGATTTACAGCAGAACAAATTTTGGCTTGGCACAGTGATTTTCTGGTAAGAATAAATGGATGAATGGTACTGATTCTAATAGATTCAAAGATCGTTGGGATTTTTTTTTGTTAAATAGCAAATTAAGGATAATAATGTAGGTGAATTGTCCTATAAAATTTAATATTACGGTAGTTTATGTACAATTTTCTCTTTTATAGAGAGATTGTCCTGATGGTAAATTATCAAAAGAAAAATTTATTGAAATTTATAGTCAATTTTATACGAAAGGACGTGTACATAAATTTTGTGAACATGCCTTTCGAGTATTTGATAAAGATAGCAGTGGAAATATTGGTAAATACTTGAATAAAATCGTTTCCTCATTTTGATGACATTTCTTTTATTTATTTATTTATTTTTTACGATAGATTTTATTGAATTTTTGATTGCTGTTAGTATGACATCGTCGAAAGATCGTCAACGTAAAACAGAATTATTTTTTAGTATGTATGATATTGATAATAATGGTTTCATTGATGAAACAGAAATGAAATCGGTTGTGGAAGTAAGTTGCATTCGCTTGATTTTCAAAAATTGCGTACAGGTATCAACAATGTTGTATTAATTGAAAAATTCTTCTCGGACATAGATGGGGCATATTGTGGTTTTACCATTGATACGCTACATCAGAGTGCTTGACTGAATTTTTGAAAATAAGAGACGAATATTTCAACTGTAAGAGTCATTCGTTGATTAAAGTTAGAAACTAGAGTTTCTGAGTTGAAATAAACATCAACTAAACATAAATATTCAGTTTTTGCCGTTTATTGACAGAAGAAAAGGTCTTGTTAATAACAATTAATTGAATAAATCTGCTGTATATATATTAGATAAATGTATCTATCTATCTATACATATAGTAGTAGGTCAAATTGATACACGTTACGTATGAGATAAATCGAATACACATTCTCTATCTCAGATTTATTCTGCTTCTTAACAAATAACAATTGATCTTTTTATTCTAGTCAATTTATGAATTAATGGGTATTGATCATAATTCAAATCGTATCAATTCAAAAGTACGAGAAATATTTTCAAAAGCCGATCTTGATCAAAAACATTATTTAACAAGAGATGAATTTGTAAAAGCATGTGAAAATGATCGTTATATTCGTAAACTATTGGTACCACATACCAAAGCACATTAAACGCACAATGTTTAATAATATCTATATTTGATTATATCACTTCTATCAAATTTGTGATCAACATCTGTATAATTAATCTGTACGTGTTACGCAACTTATATATCAGATAAATTGTGACTTGACATTCATCACATAAAGGAAATGATTTTCCTTTGGCACAGATATAAACATAACCATATATAGTTCAGGAGTCTATTTATTTTATTACTACTAGTCATTTTATATTGCAATATAGTACTGAACAATTGTATACCAATCGACACTGATTAGCGTTAGTTAGTTGAATATGACGTTATGTGTCTAATACAGAATTTAACAAAAGGATTCGAAATATCAACTTAACAATAAAGAGATGAACAATGATTGATTCATTTTTTGATTTATTTCAATGACATATTATTTATTCAGCATTCGATAGTCTTCCCTACAAATTTTAATCAAAATTTGTGTAAACAATTTTTTAAAATTTTCTATCTAATATTGAATGATCTTTAACATAATGTGATTGAAAATAACTAAAAATAGAAATGAGTGTCTATAATGAAAAGAAGTCAAACGTTAGTGGCACCAAAAAAAAGCTCAAGTGATTCAGTTATTGATGTCATCAATAATCGTTCTCTATTTTCCGCATACATGCATCATGTGTAGCGCGACGATGAATCTATAGCAGAACTATTAACTTCTTTGAAAAAGTACTGCACAAACCTTTATTGAGACTACATGATGTGATGAACTATTTGAATTGAATGTTTTACCTTTCTGGTGGAGCTATCGTTGATTGATATTCTCTGCATGATCGCGTTTGTACTTTGAGTTTGAGAATTTAATTAATGTAGTTAAACATTGTGTATTGCACGACAAAACTAGTAAATTTGCCTTCTCATAACTTTAGTCCAATAATGTTGAGGGACAGTTGAATTAGGCAGCATTTTAGGCAGCTGGTCGAACACACTTTAATTCACCAGATAAATATATTCCATGTATTATGTTTTAGTGAAGTCTTATATTAAAGTTGAAGCTAATGGATGTTAAACATGGACAATTTTCTTTATACTACTGTATATCGATTGCGATTTTAAAAAAGGAAAATAATGTACTTCTCTCATAATAATAATTATGCATACTAAAACAATAATCATTGTTTCAAATATACAAATTAAGTATAGTCACAGTACTCTTCTAGAAGTCGAACATTTTTTTAATAAAACTCACTTTTTACTAATAATATATTCTTCTGTTGATTAAAAGATGTAAATGTTTCTTATTTAATCTGACTAATCCTCTTACTATTAATAGTAGCATATCGACTTCCACGACTCTCTATAAAATAGATTATTTTACAAAACGTAAAAAGGATTTAGAAAAATATCAACACCAAGAATGAATAAAACTTTAGCCGTTTGTATGCAAAAACCTATTGAAAGACTTACTAGGGATTTTTTACACCAACTAAATGTCTTATCGATTGAAGACGAGTGCAGATTAAGAATTAATAAATGTAAACCAATCAGTAAATCTCACAATAGGACTAACTGAATTAGGGAGGATACATGAAAACGTTATGGTTTTTTTACACGCTTTCAGTCTATTATTCTCTCCTATTGCAATACCATCTATCCCAGGTCGAGGACTCACGACCGTATACTACAATATACGTTAAATTACGACGAAATACGTCAGTTGTGAACGTTGACAGATACGACGATATATAAACGATGAATTACGATGTAGTTAGGTCAGTATACGATCGTTTACGACAAGTCAAATTTTTTAGAAAAAAAATCAGAACGTAACAAAGTATACGACCGTCGTAAACTGTAGTAACCCTGACGTATTTTCATCGTTTACGTTATCGTAGCAGATTTGATCTTAAAATATATTTTCAAATGCAGTACAGGACTGAAAAACGGCCGACACTACCAGTGCGCATGCTATCTTGCACCGGTACGCACTAGTTCCACATTTTTCCAGTCACCGTTTTGTTATCTACGATTGATTCCACTATGTTTTACTCGGACTTTTCTTCGAGAACATAGTGCAATCAAATTTTAATGCGTTCGTCGAACAGACAATGCTTTTGTCTATTTTATAATCTCTATCTGAAAAGGAAAAGTCAGTATGAATTAGGGAGTAAGGCAGTAAATTCGAAGTACATACACAGTAAATTCAGCTCTCTGTTCCCTTATCTAAACAAGTCTCATTTTTACTAGTTTAGTAAAGTGCATTATATAACAGACACTGTTTCTAGTCTCGTTTAAAATGAGAAAAAAACCTTGGTATCTTCAATGATAGACGTGGCGAGAGTGTATATATACATTTATATCACGTGGATAAGCATGTGGAGCAATCTATCGTTTCTAACATTTTTCTTCAAACGAAGAAACATGCTTCCTTTATAAACGTATATATATTTTTTTTCTCATTTAAACGAGACAAAAACCAGTGTCTGTTATATAAGGCACTGTATTTCTTAAAGTAAACTACTTTTATACTCGAACTTTGTTGCAGTTTATATCTGCTTTTGGAACCTTTGTATAGCAGAACTAAATCAGTAAAATAATCAGAAAAAATAATTACAGAGTAAGTACAATTTTTCCTCATTTTGGATATCAAAATTGGGTCTTCTTTGTCATGAATGCAGCAAATACAGGGGTTTTCTCAGTGTATAGACTCAGTTAATGTTTGCTGTGTAAAGATCTCAAAATAAAACTCCACAGAAGTGAGAAATGCATGAAAGGTTGATGTTATAATAATTGTGAGTATCCTCGATGTAAGATCGCTTTGCCGTCAGTGACTGTCAGGATGTAGCGATGATCAGTTCGGTTCTGTTTCACGGACGGAGGATTGGGGCTCAGCCATTCCGCCTCATTCACAGAATATTGGATTGGCTCTAATAACGAACCGATCCTAGCGATAATATCTACGGATATACATTCTCTGAAAGTCCAAGCATGAATGTTTTCTTCACATATGGCAAACGTTACCTTACGGTAAAACTCACCGGCGAACTATAAAACATCCTATAAAACCGCTCTCACTTTTATTCTG